ACAGAGATCAAACAGGGCAGTAGTGGAAGTACAACAACCAGCCAGTACCAGATACAGAGGGCAGATCAGTACAGGAGGGCAGTAGTGGAAGTACAACAACCAGCCTGTGGAAGTACAACAACCAGATCAGATCAGACAGAGGGCAGTAGTGGAAGTACAACAACCAGCCTGTACCAGATCAGACAGAGGGCAGTAGTGGAAGTACAACAACCAGCCTGTACCAGATCAGACAGAGGGCAGTAGTGGAAGTACAACAACCAGCCTGTACCAGATCAGACAGAGGGCAGTAGTGGAAGTACAACAACCAGCCTGTACCAGATCAGACAGAGGGCAGTAGTGGAAGTACAACAACCAGCCTGTACCAGATCAGACAGAGGGCAGTAGTGGAAGTACAACAACCAGCCTGTACCAGATCAGACAGAGGGCAGTAGTGGAAGTACAACAACCAGCCTGTACCAGATCAGACAGAGGGCAGTAGTGGAAGTACAACAACCAGCCTGTACCAGATCAGACAGAGGGCAGTAGTGGAAGTACAACAACCAGCCTGTACCAGATCAGACAGAGGGCAGTAGTGGAAGTACAACAACCAGCCTGTACCAGATCAGACAGAGGGCAGTAGTGGAAGTACAACAACCAGCCTGTACCAGATCAGACAGAGGGCAGTAGTGGAAGTACAACAACCAGCCTGTACCAGATCAGACAGAGGGCAGTAGTGGAAGTACAACAACCAGCCTGTACCAGATCAGACAGAGGGCAGTAGTGGAAGTACAACAACCAGCCTGTACCAGATCAGACAGAGGGCAGTAGTGGAAGTACAACAACCAGCCTGTACCAGATCAGACAGAGGGCAGTAGTGGAAGTACAACAACCAGCCTGTACCAGATCAGACAGAGGGCAGTAGTGGAAGTACAACAACCAGCCTGTACCAGATCAGACAGAGGGCAGTAGTGGAAGTACAACAACCAGCCTGTACCAGATCAGACAGAGGGCAGTAGTGGAAGTACAACAACCAGCCTGTACCAGATCAGACAGAGGGCAGTAGTGGAAGTACAACAACCAGCCTGTACCAGATCAGACAGAGGGCAGTAGTGGAAGTACAACAACCAGCCTGTACCAGATCAGACAGAGGGCAGTAGTGGAAGTACAACAACCAGCCTGTACCAGATCAGACAGAGGGCAGTAGTGGAAGTACAACAACCAGCCTGTACCAGATCAGACAGAGGGCAGTAGTGGAAGTACAACAACCAGCCTGTACCAGATCAGACAGAGAGGGCAGTAGTGGAAGTACAACAACCAGCCTGTACCAGATCAGACAGGGAGGGCAGTAGTGGAAGTACAACAACCAGCCTGTACCAGATCAGACAGAGGGCAGTAGTGGAAGTACAACAACCAGCCTGTACCAGATCAGACAGAGAGGGCAGTACCAGATGACAGAAGTAGTGGAAGTACAACAACCAGCCTGTACCAGATCAGACAGAGGGCAGTAGTGGAAGTACAACAACCAGCCTGTACCAGATCAGACAGAGGGCAGTAGTGGAAGTACAACAACCAGCCTGTACCAGATCAGACAGAGGGCAGTAGTGGAAGTACAACAACCAGCCTGTACCAGATCAGACAGAGGGCAGTAGTGGAAGTACAACAACCAGCCTGTACCAGATCAGACAGAGGGCAGTAGTGGAAGTACAACAACCAGCCTGTACCAGATCAGACAGAGGGCAGTAGTGGAAGTACAACAACCAGCCTGTACCAGATCAGACAGAGGGCAGTAGTGGAAGTACAACAACCAGCCTGTACCAGATCAGACAGAGGGCAGTAGTGGAAGTACAACAACCAGCCTGTACCAGATCAGACAGAGGGCAGTAGTGGAAGTACAACAACCAGCCTGTACCAGATCAGACAGAGGGCAGTGGAAGTACAACAACCAGCCTGTACCAGACAGACAACCAGCCTGTACCAGATCAGACAGAGGGCAGTAGTGGAAGTACAACAACCAGCCTGTACCAGATCAGACAGAGGGCAGTAGTGGAAGTACAACAACCAGCCTGTACCAGATCAGACAGAGGGCAGTAGTGGAAGTACAACAACCAGCCTGTACCAGATCAGACAGAGGGCAGTAGTGGAAGTACAACAACCAGCCTGTACCAGATCAGACAGAGGGCAGTAGTGGAAGTACAACAACCAGCCTGTACCAGATCAGACAGAGGGCAGTAGTGGAAGTACAACAACCAGCCTGTACCAGATCAGACAGAGGGCAGTAGTGGAAGTACAACAACCAGCCTGTACCAGATCAGACAGAGGGCAGTAGTGGAAGTACAACAACCAGCCTGTACCAGATCAGACAGAGGGCAGTAGTGGAAGTACAACAACCAGCCTGTACCAGATCAGACAGAGGGCAGTAGTGGAAGTACAACAACCAGCCTGTACCAGATCAGACAGAGGGCAGTAGTGGAAGTACAACAACCAGCCTGTACCAGATCAGACAGAGGGCAGTAGTGGAAGTACAACAACCAGCCTGTACCAGATCAGACAGAGGGCAGTAGTGGAAGTACAACAACCAGCCTGTACCAGATCAGACAGAGGGCAGTAGTGGAAGTACAACAACCAGCCTGTACCAGATCAGACAGAGGGCAGTAGTGGAAGTACAACAACCAGCCTGTATCAGACAGAGGGCAGAGTCACCAGCCTGTACCAGATCAGACAGAGGGCAGTAGTGGAAGTACAACGACCAGCCTGTACCAGATCAGACAGAGGGCAGTAGTGGAAGTTTGGATTGGTTTGTTGTTTTACACCTCACTCAGCAATATTCCAGATATATGGCAGCAGTCTGTAAATAATTGAGTCTGGATCAGACAATCCAGTGATCAACAGCATGAGCATTAGTCTACACAATTGGGATACGATACATCTGTCAACCAAGTCAGCGAGCCTGACCACCCGATCCTGTTAGTCACCTCTTACAACAAGCATGTGTTATATTACTGAAGATCAATTCTACCCCAGACCTTCATGGGTATAGCAGTGGATGTAAGAAGCCGGGGTATAATTTACACAGTCAGTCACTGCTGCAAGTCCATCCTCAGCTTTCATCCATACTAACACTTATCCCTAGTAGCCTGCATATTGAACCTGGACCTGTTTCACAAAGCCATCTTTTCATATGGTCCTAACAGTATGGGAGTCATTCTGCACTAAAATCATTTTGTGGAACAAGCTGCTGAACTTTACAATATGGTGGTAAGAGACAACTGCAACTTGAATCACTTCCGGCCACAATATGCCCTACAGGCAACTGTAAGAGCCAGACTGTGTACTGTACCAAAATATAACCATGTACAAAATCAAACCCACATCATGACCATCACACACCACTGGACTAAGGCAACCACCTTCTGTCAACTACACATACACTAGACCGCCTCCGTGGTGTCGTGGTTAGAGCGTCCGCCAGGAGAGCGGAAGGTCGCAGGTTTGATCCCGACGGCGTCATACCAAAAGACGTTAAAATATGGTATTTGTTGGTCCCTGCCTGGCGCTCGGCATTAATGGGTACAACAAGGACTGGTCGGCTTGGAGTCAGTATAATGTGTCTGAGTGGGGTATTCATGCTTCACTGCGGCATGGTATCTCAGTGGGCTAGCACTATAAAACCAGCTTAAGTCTGGGCTAGTACAAGCAGCCGCACATACACATACACACGCATGCACGTCGTCATATGAGCGAAATATTCTCAACGTTAAGCCCAATTTCACCTCACCTCACCTCACACATACACTACTCAAACACAACTACTCAAAAAAGACCTGAAGACCTGGTGTTGAATTGGTCTTCAACAACACATGCTTGTCATAAGGGCAACTAACAGGATCAGATGATCAAGCTTGCCGACTTGGTTGATACATGTCATCATAACCTAGTTGTGTAGATTGATGCTCATGATGTTAATCACTGGATTGTCTGATCCAGACTTAATTATTTACCGATCGCTGTGATATAGCTTGAACATTTCTGAGTGTGACATTACTGACTGACTGAGTTTGGTTTTACGCCGCTTTTAGCAATATTCCAGCAACATCACGGCAGGGGACACCAGAAGAGTGTGACATTAAACCACAAACAAAACTACTAAATACAGATAAGGACTACCCTGTTCTTTCATGGTACTTTGGTTCATCTTAAGACAGATTGACTGTGGAAATGTCAAAGCATCTAATGATACCTGACTTTAAACATATACACATGCAGCATAATTTCATCACAAGTAACAACATAATAACATATAGCGCAGAAATATTAATATAATTGGCAAATAATGACACACAGAAGTTATACCAACCGTTTTTGACAGATTGCCAAGCCACAGTTTCTTCAAAATTAAGAACATAAAGTCAAGGTGTCCTTGTCATAATCCTTGTGTAAACAATGAAGGAGCCCTCTAGATGTAATAACTACATAAGAAAACCTCAAGGACACCAGGACCCACCTTACTTTCTAATACTCATTACACAATTCATCTTTCTTGAAATTGTAGCTTATACTTTATCATTGTCCAATCAAATCCACTATCTATCCCATGCCCACTGAGCAGTAATCTGTTTATCTTGAGGCTGATATTCCTGCATCAGTTAACAATTATGGTTATAGAATCTGCCTGTCTGCTAAACAGCTTCCATGCCAAGATGTGCAGTCGAGAGTTGGGCTCACAAGTACAAGGCATCTCCGCAATGATCATTTCAGCATATAATCCTCAAACCAGGAAACACAAATACTGTAACACAACACATCTCAGGTCAACTTTCAGATCAAAACTTACAGCAATGCCACTTCATCTACTTGCTTCCGGTTTGTAAGTTGGTTATTTTTTACAACCCGAACATAAAATATGGTTGCTAAATTGTGCAAATAATTTACAAAACATGTTTTGCTACCAGTGACATTACACACAACAAAATATGACGTTACAGACACAAAAAAAAAAGAAAGAAAAATTCAAAATAGAAACATTTCATATGTACATGTTTTATTTACATTTAAATCATTATACTCATTGTGACAACTTTGATAACTATAACAATGACCTTTTAAGTCATATGCTTTATCTCATGTAAAACATATTACCCAAACACGCTTCATAAATAGCAGAGATATCCCTGAAGAACAGTTCCACCTACAGGCAAGTCATTCCAACTTGATTATTTATCTCAACAGGAGCCTTGTCACAACAAAAACTTTTACTCTCTTGCAATTTGAAAATATTTACAAGATGATTAAGAATTCCCATAAATCTATTTCTTCACTCTTTCTAGATGACGCTACGTGTGTATTATATTACATGAGATACCGGTCCCACTGAGGCTGGACGTATTGGTCAACCCCTCTATCTCTCTCCAGTCTTGACATCATCAAGCATACGTATCTTTCATGATAATCAAGGCCGTAGAAGGTATCACCTATTTTCTCTGCCACCCCACAAACCCTACCCTCCCCCTATCCCATCTCAATCTCTCTCGGTACCATCAGCCAGTCACAGGTGTACCACCCTGGTACATGATGGTCGTATCACATCCTCGTATCCCCCACATGGGATGTATTATGTTACGGAGGCAGCAGCAGCTTTCTTCTTGAAGAGGGCAGGTGCTGCCTCGGACAGCCAATCAGGATCAACTACTGTCAGATCTCTGGAAACATACAGGCACAAATGTTACCGTCCTGTTTGCAAGGAAGTCATAAAATGCTAGAAATATGCTCAAAAGTTACAATAACTATTTGAATTCAATGGATGATGTTTACTGTCACAATGAACTCGACAAAAGTTCAAGTCAATCAGATTGTGAGTGAGTTAGTGAGTATTGCTTTATATCCCTTTCACAAAAAAGGAATTTGTGACAATAAAAGATATTCTAGTCAATGATTTTGTATATGAGTGAGTGTTTCACACACATCATTTTGCAATATAGCAACAATGTAATGACACAGGACAAGAACAATGATCATCACACAAAATGCCCATTTATGGAATAAAACCTTGGTATTCACAATGAGTCAACAACTCAACCACTCCGCTGAACAAGCAATATTCCAGCTATATTATGGAGGGGAACACCAGAAATAGGCTTGAACTCGAGGCTTCGGCATGAGAAGCGACTGCTTTACCCACTAGACCCAGCACCACTAAAATAGGTAAGTCTAGTTGTATTCCACTATATGAAACATAATATCAAGAAAGTTATTGTGTAGTTCCTATAGATGTTAGAGTCTTGACCTGTCTGCACATACAACCTACTGAGGTTATTTCTTAAAGCTGTGTTTCAAGATAAACCACAGTTCCTGACATCAAAGACCACTCTTCTCCAAGAACATGCCATGTTGTTGTGCTATGTATTAACACTATTCACATCTTCAGATGCTACCGATTTAATTCTATCACCCATCACCTAAACATGTGTCAAGATGAAAGTTCGGTTATCATGATTATCATACAAAAACATGTGAAATAAATCCTTTTCCCTGTGAAATGTACTGCAATGTGGGCAAGGACCTGTCAGATCTGATCAAGGTGTGTCTTATCACAGATAACAGTAGCTAGTTAGTCACAAAGTCACTTTCCCATGGTACTCCCGATTCCGGGGGTACTGCCGCCAGTCAGGCAGACTATCATGGTGAGTTCAAGATGTCCTGACAAGAGATGCAGTGCTGGGAATGCTGAAGCCAGGTAAAGATAGACATGTCTCTAAAAACTTATATAAGAAGAGAAATGTGGTTGGTCTACAGCACATGGCTTGGAAACTATATGTCAACATTCATCATGCCCAAGTGCCTTATTTCTGTGATCATCTACTTGTGGGGAACATAATGTATGTACGGACTGCTATCAGCTCCTGATTTAGTGAGTAATATCTTGACAATTTTTAAAGCTTGAGAATTAATCAAAATATTATTTCCAGCATGAACACATTTTCCAAAAAAATTCCCAGGCACTGGGTGCAAATAAAATACACAACAACATTTTAATGTGAAAATCTTTCACCAAGACACAGGAATTCTCCTTTTATCTGAGTATTAAGTTGCACTGACAAAATTCAAATGAATCATAAATACAGACATAATTTCAAAATACACAAAAGTTTTTTGTATCAAACAAAATACAAGGGGCATCTCGGTAAGCTGGTTCAGCCCACACCTGAGTGTATCCTAGCATATGTACAGCCAATTACCTAGACTTGCACAAGTCTCTAAGGAAATAATAAATAGTTTAAATGACAATTTCTATAAAATATAAATATTCCTCTAAAGGCCTGGGGTCCTTGTACTGTCCGCTTATCTAGACTTACCTCTTTATAGGATAGAATTACTATACACCAGTGGGCTTAGCATTCAGTACAGCCTTGGAGCAAGGCTACCAATTACCCAGCTCCTGTCTGTCTAAATGTGGCTCCAGTAAGGCAGAGCTGGGGGAGGTTGGGGGTCTATGCCCAGGAGAGATTCAGGAGAGGTGTGGCTGACTGGTTGTACGCACCTCTACCTGCCACGGACATAAACATGTGTTTACACTTCCTAACACCCACGAGGTGTAGCAAGGTGCACATCTTTAAATTATTGGGTGTATACATATTTACACAGATCAGTTAATTAGTAGAAAATCTCTTCATGTTTACATTCATATCAGTTATTTAGTAGGACATCTTTTCATATTTATATCAGTAATTTAATAGAAGATCTTTTCATATTTGCATTCATATCAGTTATTTAGTAGGACATCTTTTCATATTTATATCAGTAATTTAGCAGAAGATCTTTTCATATTTATATCAGTAATTTAGTAGAAGATATTTTCATATTTATATCAGTAATTTAGATCTTTTCATATTTGCATTCATATCAGTTATTTAGTAGGACATCTTTTCATATTTATATCAGTAATTTAGTAGAGGATCTTTTCATATATGTATCAGTAATTTAGTAGAAGATCTTTTCATATTTGCATTCATATCAGTTATTAAGTAGGACATCTTTTCATATTTATATCAGTAATTTAGTAGATCTTTTCATATTTGCATTCATATCAGTTATTTAGCAGAACATCTTTTCATATTTCATTCATATCAATTATTTAGTAGAACATCTTTTCATATTTGCATTCATATCAGTTATTTAGTAGAACATCTTTTCATGTTTACATTCATATGACTTATTTAGTGGAACATCTTTTCATATTTATATCAGTAATTTAGTAGAAGATATTTTCATATTTATATCAGTAATTTAGTAGAAGATATTTTCATATTTGCATTCATATCAATTATTTAGTAGGACATCTTTTCATATTTATATCAGTAATTTAGTAGGAGGTCTTTTCATATTTATATCAGTAATTTAGTAGAAGATCTTTTCATATTTGCATTCATATCAGTTATTTCATAGGACATCTTTTCATATTTATATCAGTAATTTAGTAGATCTTTTCATATTTGCATTCATATAAGTTATTTAGCAGAACATCTTTTCATATTTCATTCATATCAATTATTAAGTAGAACATCTTTTCATATTTGCATTCATATCAGTTATTTAGTAGAACATCTTTTCATGTTTACATTCATATGACTTATTTAGTGGAACATCTTTTCAATACAGTTCCGAGAGGCCATGCTGCATATCTTACTTGCACTGTAAACATAACAGTTGACTGTATGATGATGAGCGGCTGCAATGATGACACACCAGTGGACAAGGGCCAAATGGTGGTACAGTCTCTACTTCCAGATATGTAGAACTTAGTGGTGGTGCGATTAATTGAAATAATCGAAGATTGGTCGCAATGACTAATGACTCGCAATGTTTTCTCATAATCGAACACAAACAATTTTGGAACACGTTTGCATTAACAATATTTTTCACAGGTTGGTTTTGTCCGTTACATTTCATAAGAAATACAAGCTCATTCCAAGTCAGGATTGAATTTATCTTAAAGATTCCAAGAAATTTATGTACCTAACATACTTGTCATCCTTTAAAGATGTGAAATGTGCAAATGCATTTTGTGCAAAAACCTAAAAGAACTACATGTTTTGTGTTTATTTTATGTGCATTAACAAACATAGCCAGGAAAATTTCATAAATGACGCTAACCAATTATTTTTGATGATTGCTCGGTTGCAATGAACCATTCATCAATTATGAGATTTTTACCAATTCCCAACACTAGTAGAACTCCACAAGATAGCCATGGACAAAATCAAACTTGGATCCTTGATGTGACAGGGAAAAGAATGAACTACTTCATTGTTTGAACAAATGGTTCAATGCTGTAGACACTAAAGAATGGTCGGAAATAGAAAAAAACTGTTTTTAGGCTCTTACTTTGTATCCCTAAAAGTTACACAACTGCAAATAGCATATGTCGAAATGACCCAGTTCGGCCTAACTGTGCATTCAGTGGGATGCGTAAGAGCATATCCAGAAAAGCATGTTTACTCGTAAAATCGGGGCAAAACTTAGAAAAAATACGAATAGCTGCTGAAAACAATAGATCAGACTATAGATGTCAATTTGGTCGCTCAGCCAGGTATGACGAGGGACTGTCGACTCACCTGGCATGAAATGCATGTGCTGCCTACACGCACAAGGGGTCATCTCAAAGATAATTTGTACTTTTTCATGTGTGCTGAATATGTCTCAACTTTTGATTAACATCTTACGTGTCTTTCTTTCATAAATTTTATGTTGAGAAAAGTATGTAAAAGAGTATGATACCTGATAACCATAGAAAAGCATCGTATTAAATGTCTCAAAATATATGGGTGGCATGAACACCCGAAGATCGACAGGACTGGATATTATTTGTAAATTGTTATAACATGCCGTGTACTTCCCCAGTATAATTGCCCTAAAGGATTATCGTATCTCAGCTGATATCTCTATCCCCCAGCCCGACCCCAACCATCGTATGCGACACCCGCCCTGGTTTTACTTTTGAGATGACCCCTCCTATCTGTTTCTTTTTATAGTGACAGTGAGACTCCATGGTAGCTACATCCTTAATAGTTTCAGTATGAAAGTTATTATTTTGTACGTCAGCTATCGTTTATAATGAAGTTAAGTCTAATTTCAAGATGGGCATTCAAAAAGTGTCCTTTGAAATACAATATCATTGCACACTAATTTGCATAAAGCCATGGTCTGTTCCAAATAAGTCGCTTTGGACTTAGAAAAAAATCTCATTGCTCATTTCTGAACTAATCTCTCCTCACTAAAGTCCTTTTATTATGTTTCCTATCTCCCTATCACTCAGACTGCAGTTAGGCCGAACTTAGTTTATCAGATATTTCACACTTTCACATATCAACTACCTAAGTTGTAGAGATAAATATGAAAAAACAGTTTTCTTCTATTTCCGACAGTACTTTAATCTTCACAATATACATGATGATGTGAGTGGTAGTGGTGGTCTGATTAATTGAAATAATCGAAGATTGGTCGCAGTGACTAAACGACCAAGCAATGGATCATGTTTTCTCATAATAGAACACAAACAATTCTGGAACACTTGTTTTCATCAACAATATTCTTCACTAGGTTGGTTTTGTCTGTTACATTTCATAAGCACTACAAGCGTTTCAAGTCATGATTGGAAGACACCAAGAGATTTATGTTCCTAACATACTAGTCATACTTTAAAGATGTGAAATTTTGCCCCAAACCCCCAAATAACTACATATTTTTTTCCTTATTTATTGTGCATTAACAAATTTCATAAATGACGCTAACCAATTATTTTCGAAGATTGATCGGTGGTTATGAACCAATCATCAATTATGAGCTTTTAACCAATTCCCAACACTAGTGAGTGGGTGAGTGTGTATGGACATGCTGTTTTCAGAAATATCCAGTCAGATCATGGCCGTGTACACCAAGACCACAAAGAGTGGGCTTCACACGCTGCATTTAGTGAGAAACTGAACCAGTTTTGTAGTGAGCCAACACCTTTATCACTTCCCCATAAATCATATACTGACAGAAATATATAACAGAACATTTAACAGGAAAATGTTGGTAACATCAATACATCAGAATGTCAGTGGTCAAGCAAGGTTTGTGTGATGTGTCACTGTGTCTACATACCTCATGTAGCACTTGGATGTCTGAACCAGTTCATTATACAGGACGTAGGCTGGCTTGCACTGGAACAGCCCAGAGGATGGATGGATTGATACAGTCTTCCTCACTGAAAGCTGGAATAAAGGTTGGACCATCAGAGTACCAGTAAACATCTTTGATACAAAATGACAAAATGACTGGATTTGTGCAGTGAGTGAGTGAGTGAGTTGAGTTGTAAACCATATTTTACTTTGATGCTCTTTATTGAGGACATTGGCCTCATACATACAGTAGAAACTGCAGGTCCACATTACAGGGGTGGAAATAACTTTAAAATTGTTAGCGTACTCCGGTACAGTGGCACATGTAAAATCACTTGCTCTGATCATTTTTCCACCATACCGGCCGTTTTCATGTTGATTTTTTAAATAAACAACATAACTAACATTGGAATATCAACTGGACACCAGTACAGTGTGATATACAAATTTGCTTGCCCGACAGAAAAAAAACCCACTGGACTCCGGCGTCGGGCAATGGGTTATTTCCACCCCTGCATTATACACTGTGGAGGCTTATATAGTTACCACTGCATGACTTCTGTTCTAAACAGTGAAGACACTGTGCAGCTGTGTGCAGTGGACAACGGGGCTCCATCTAGAGGACACTTGATGTCTTCAGTTACTTACAGTGATGTAGTCTCCAGTCTTCTGCAGCTCGGCAGCATTCATGAAGAAACCCGTTGACATGCAGCGTCTGTGGAGTACAACAGTTGAAACAATCTCACACTCTGATGGAACACTTCACCTGGACAGTTCACCTCCAACAAGGTCATGAACAGGACCTGATTCAGCCTGGTGGGCAGTCACTGGAGAGTGAATCGGCAGTGAGTGAGTGAGTGAGTGAGTGAGTGAGTGAGTGAGTGAGTGAGTGAGTGAGTGAGTGAGTGAGTGAGTGAGTGAGTGAGTGAGTGAGTGAGTGAGTGAGAGTGAGTGGTGGTGAGTGAGTGAGTGAGGAGTGAGAGTGAGTGTGAGTGAGTGAGTGAGTGAGTGAGTGAGTGGAGTGAGTGAGTAAAAGAGTGAGTGAGTAAAAGAGTGAGTGAGTGAGGTTAGTTTTACGCCGCACTCAGCAATTTTCCAGCTATATCACGGCGGGGGACACCAGAAATGGGCTTCACAAGTTGTACCCATGTGGGGAATCGAACCCGGGCCTTCGGCGTGACGAGCGAATGGCTACCCCACCGCCCCTGCGCAATTAGGAACCGATGACATATGCCAACCAAGTTAGGGAGCCTGACCACCCGATCCCGTTAGTCGCCTCTTACGACAAGCATAGTCACCTTTTGTGGCAAGCATGGGTTGCTGAAGACCTATTCTACCCCAGACCTTCATGGGTCCAACATTGTTTGAGGCAATATTCCGGCTATATCATTTGTTATATGAACAACAATCCACACCATATAGGTGATAAAAATACAAAAATTTAGCCTGGTCACAGTTTGTAACCAACCAATTTTCAACTGTAGGCAGCTCTGATGCAGTCATGGTTTAACAGGAACTGATTCTGCCCAGGAATTTCTGCGGGTTAAGTCAGCCAAGAACGCTGCACATGTACATATAACACAATACATCACTCAATAAATATAGGTCAAGGTCATGAACACTGTCATGAACAATGGCTGATGTTGTTGATATTTTGCAACAAAATGAAGGTAATGTTTTCACAGTCATGACAATTGATTGTTTTGAAAATAATCACAACCCGTAGCATTGTTCCCTAAATGCCATTGCATCAAATCTGATAAAAGTGAGTCAGAATCACAATGCCTTCAACATTCAGGGTCAGTCAAAACATCCTATTTGGAGGGAAAAATAATGCTTCTATCATCAACAAAATCTTGAGAAAAATCGGACCAAAACCTTTAATCCCAAATGCCTATGGAAGCTATCACCATTGAGTCTCAACAATTCTTCCAAATGCTACAAGGCAAAACCACAATGAAATCAAAGAATCAGTCAAGACTGTTTTTACACGTCTGCCCCTTCAGCAACACCTGGCACCTGATCATCTTCCATGTTGCCTTTATTGTGGTCTATTTCCAGCTGACATACAGACAGCAGGATGTTCAGATCCTCACATGTACCTTGCCATCACTTCTAGCTACAAGGATGCTGCAGTTGACCCCATGCAACATCAACATGCCTTACTGGCTGGCTACTTCATGTTTACATAGGTGCTTACAAGACAAGTGACCTGCATTGGCTGAACAAACCTCCTGGAGTGATGTATCCCGCCAACTGACCTCCGCAACTTCTTCAAGTAGGAACATACATTTATCATTGTTTATTTACTTATGTGGTATATATGATTTAAATAGTAATGATTTGGTAGGTTGATTAGTTGTTTTACACCACAATGAGCAATATATACCATAATGCCAGACTTCGGGATTACAAGAGTGAGTGAGTGAGTAAGTTAGTTTAGTTTTACACTACACTCAGCAATATTCCAGCTATATGTCAGCGGTCTTGTACATAATCAAATCTGGACCAGACAATCAAGTCAACAACTTGAGCATCAATCTATGCAATTGAGATACAATTACATGTGTCAACCAAATCCGCGAGCCTGATCACCCGATCCCGTTTGTTGCCTCTTACGACAATCATAGGTTACTGAAGACCAATTCTTACCTGGATTTTCACAGGTTTAAATAGTGATGAAGTACGGGGTATTTCTCATGTGAAACCAGCCCAAAGTGATTCTGGTCATTTTTGTGAAACCTACAAGCATGGATACTGTGTTGACCGACAAAGAGTAGAATCAGAGTGATTCTCGGATTCAAACCCAAGATCGGGTAGAATCCTGACTAAGGGAAGTAACTCTGCATAGTGAGATAGGGGACCAAAATGCTCAATGTTGAAAGTTTTAATAAACTTTGCAGAAATGACATGGCTCTGGAAGGCTGAGTGAAATGAGACCAGCATTTCATACACTACTACAGACTGTGTACAAGAGTATAAAACTGGCCGTGTATGTTGGTGACATTTGCCTGTGTAAGTGTGTGTGGGTGTACGCGTGATGAGAAACTTGTGAGGTGTATTTACAAAAGGAAGGTGCTAGGTTTGCATGGCAGCTCTTCATGCACGCTTGTATGGACTTAATCTGAAGTGAGTTAGATTAACAACCGCTATACATGTGAAAGATTTCAAATGTCATATTGTTTAGGTCAGTCCTGCCGAGACAATTGACATTTGTCATCAATCATGCTTGAACAAATGTTGAATACGCGACTGTGACCTTGAAAATAGTGCGACATTAAGTATTTCGGATAACAGCAGGCAAATTAGTACCGCCCCCTTATTCACGTGAAGTCAACGTAGAATGTATGAGTGGAGAACCCATGTTAAACTGTGGCCTGGTATCTCAGTGGGTATGGACCACTCCAAGCAGCTACACATAGACATGTGCCTGCAATGTTCTTGAATGACATTAAATGTTATTTCACAAAGAACAGAATGCAATCAATATTTTAACTCAGTTCCTAAAAAATACACAACTAACCTATTTTGAAGATTACAAAGTATGACAATCTTAAAAGACAAATGTTTTTTTAACCTTTTCTTAAATAGTTCCTGAAAACCAAAAATCTTTATGATGGCAGAAAACAGCGAGGAATGAGAGGAAAGGCTGTAAATGCTGAAACCCACACTAATCTTTTTAATGTACCTCAAAGACCATCACTTTTTCTGATTCTGGTCAACAGAACACCTTGCTGTGACGTGTGTTTTCAAATACCTCAAACACACCTCACACCTTCCCAAACACTCCGAACTTGATACCATTGTAAAGAGCATGCTCATCAACTCTGACCTTTAGGACAACCAACAGTTGGTCGAATTGGCGGCTTGCCGTCCATCACAACAACGCCCGCCAAAATAACATGCTCAAAATAAAGACAGAAAGGTTGAATCTTGCGTCACACACTCACGACTGTGAGCAAAAGTCAGGTGAGAGAATGAGTTTCCATGCTGTACTGTACAAGTTGCACATTTCTCTATCAGAAGGTCCTCGTTTGTTTTCCCTATTGGCTACAAGGGTACAACAGGAGCAATGTGGATGCTGCCTAATCATCAACACTTGCCCAACAGCCTGGCATCCATTGCAAGAATGCTGACACCGGTACCATAATTCTACTATAAAATTAGAAAATCCCAGGGCACTTTAACCAGTGATCGAAATGATGTATGAAGGTACCAGGACCGTTAAGCAGAACCCATGTTAAGATTAATGTTTAGAGGTCTCTAAGTTCAATACAAAAGCAGGAATCCTCAAAAGCACCCGGGCCCCTTGAACCGAAATAAAGTCAACATAACATGTCCTTTTTCTATGAATTACCAATCATATTATGCGGAAGATGTTTCTAAAACACCAGTATCTGTTCTCAGAGACATTAAACTGCATTATCTAACAATATTTGAGAACCTCAGCAAGTGTGAACTTGAAAAACAATGCCTTTAAAAATCTCATGTGTGTTTTTCGCTTTGACTGGTGATTTTATTTTCCCCCTTTGCCTTTAGATGTTCTGAAGACAAAAATCTGTAAAACAAGAAATATAACTGGTTTGGCCTAATATATGAAAAAAACTTTTTTTGTTCAACAAACTGACTTGCGTAGTCAGAGTCTTGCTCTCGTCTATCTTAAGATTAGGATTTTATTTTGTCGAGTGGGGAAAATTTATAGCACCCATGAAGGGAATAGAACCCGGGTCTTCGGCGTGATGAGCGAACGCTTTAACCACTAGGTTACCCTTCCAATACCTAAAGAGCTTTTACATGTATGGTTCATTTTTAGAATATCTACGGTAATCACGGCATTACCAGGAATAGGCTGCAGAGTAAAAGGAGCTGACTGCAGTAAGAGATACGAACAAGAAGGTGGAAATACAGACTTGATAAGATAAATGTATATAAATCAGAGAGAGGGAGAACATTAACCGGGTGATGATATACCAACAATACATCACATCTAGGTGTGTGATAACACTACCCAAGGATGGTAAAGCCAGCAAGCATTGTCTGCTAAGGGAATCACGGAAAGAAAAGCCCATGGTACAATGATTTGTTATTTGTATAATCCAGATTGATACAGTATGCTATGGTGTAGGTAAGAAAAACAGATTGGTTTACTGAAAAATCAAAATCTGGTTATCCGGCATGTATCAACACTGTTGTTGTATAACTGATAGTACTTTACTATCTATCACCCACTATATCTCTGTAGACAGATGTAATGATATTGCAGTTGGTCTGAATATTTATACAGCATCCAGATACCAACCAAAGTATACCTCTACCATGTTAAAGTCAATTGTTATTGAGATACATGGAAATACTTCGACAAACTTTTTATTGATAACAACTTGGGAAAGGTATATATATAAAGAGACCTCTTTCTTGTGCTTGATAAAATGATTAGATTATTTTGCCATTTCTTTCAAGCCAGACTTACAGTTAAACCTACTACCTGAAAATCTAGAGGATCAATACAATAGTATAACATGCCAGTGCCAAGGCACTGGTGCTCACCTGCAACATTTGAAGTTAGACGAATGGTACTAGTCTGTCATACAGACCCTGAAGTCTAGAATTGTACAAACATTTAAATGAAGAAAGGAGAGTGTAGATGCTCAATCTGATCTGTCGGAGTCTTATGTGAGAGTTGAGAAAACCTCTGTGAAATATTCTTTTTGTTATATTGTTACACCATAACAACCACTGTAAGGCGAAACATCTCTTGGTAAATGGAATTTGTTTTGTTTAGACAATATTGGTGGTTTGAACATATTATTATCATCAAAGGACATGTTGATAGGCAAAATAAAACTTCAGCAAATATTTCATGAATTTTCATGAACTGAATTTTGTGTATTCACACCACTCAAGTTCACTCATGAGAGTATGTTACTATTTTCCCATCTATATGGTCACAAAATGATCTGTCATACTGAAGGGGTGTAACATGTTACAAGAACCCTAGCAAAAACTGTTTAGATACACGTGTGAAATAATCTGATTATGAACAGTCTAGTTGACCAAAGTTTCATCTTCACTAACACATGCAAACTTCAGAGTGCCTGCATAGTAACAAAGAAAAAGAAGTAAAAGTGTCTTGTTTAACCATACAGTTTTATGGTTATTGTCACTAAACAAAATATCACGTGACTAACCACAGGTCCGAGTCTGTTTATGTGATCTGGGTCCTTATCAGGGTCCTTATCGACCGCCTCCATGGTGTAGTGGTTAGAGCGTCCGCCCGGAGTGTGGAAGGTCGCGGGTTCGATCCCCGACCGCGTCATACCAAAACACGTTAAAATATGGTACTTGTTGGTCCCTGCCTGGCGTTCGGCATTAATGGGTACATCAAGGACTGGTCGGCTCGGAGTCAGTATAATGTGTCTGAGTGGGGTATTCATGCTTCACTGCGGCATGGTATCTCAGTGGGCTAGCACTATAAAACCAGCTTAAGTCTGGGCTAGTACAAGCAGCCGCACATACACATACACGTGCCTGCACGTCGTCATATGAGCGAAATATTCTCCAGCACGACGTTAAACCCAATTCCACCACCACCACCTTATCAGTATCCATTTGTACCTGAGCTACCTATCCAACCCTTGAATATCCTGGCAATTGCATAAGGGAAAGCACTTGACATTTACAAGTCACATGCAGTCTTCCGATATGTTGACATGCTTTCCATCTGTCTTACAGGTGCAGGTTCCCTGTTCATTACCCAGTTGAAGAGTCAGGCAATAATAAGCATATCTCCCACAGGAAATACACCATCATTATGAAGGAATTAAACCCCCTCACCTAATGGCGGTGGTGTCCTGTCCACACGACTGTATCGGTAGTTGTTGACGCAGCACGATGTCCCGCAGCTGCCGCCGCACCTCCAGTGCCGTCTTCATGTTCGCGTATGTTGATGAAGTTCTCCCGACACCAATCCTGTAGCAGAAGACAGTTGGAGAATGAAAACACTGAGTCCACATCTGTTGCCTAAATAGCCAGCAGAATCCAGCATCAAGTGCACTTATGTTTTTTAAATGTTTGTACAAAGCAGATATCAAAATTCTTCAAACTCTCTTCAACAAGCACTCGGGGCACTGTGAGAATGGGGAAGCAAACTCTGCAATCATTCACAACAAACAGTTCAAATCAACACAATACGTTCACATGCTCTCCATGGTCTATAAGCATCAGGGTGGATATCGTTTGATCTTCTTATTTGTTGAAAGACACCTTGGTATTTGTAACTTAAATCTGGAGGAAAAGGGTTTCCTGCAAATGTTGAAATCCTAAAACCAACAAAGGCAGCGGGATCAACACATGGCACATGAATGGTGTAAACTATCATCAACTGTCGTAACTGTGACTATCTGACTGGCTAGTCATCATTTAGTAAAACTCCCTGTGAGACATATAAACAACCATGTAACCTACTGCCACCCTTGCCCAACTATAACAGGTATCTTGCTATTTCTTAGTAACCATGAGACTTTGTTTCAAGTGAGGCCTGCTGAGATGTTTTACATTTGAAAGACCTGTGGCAGTTTTACAGTTGAATTTCATAAACAGATCTTTGATATAGATCTAATGTCGATTTTGTGTGGCTAAAGTCACAATTTCTTTCACTTGAAAATTCCAATTAACCCAACCTTGTATGTCACGTTTGGAACTTTAGAATGGTAATCCACTGATTTCCCTGTGAGCCACTATAGCAGGTGATGAAAGCTTGTTCAATATTACATGCCATGACTTCAACTGACTGCATGCTGCATACAGTCTATCTCTCAACCAGTCATCAAATTTGTTTTGTTCTACAACTATCCCAATGTGTACTTCTATTGACTGCCTCCGTGGTGTAGTGGTTAGAAGCCATCCGCCCGAGAGCCGGAACAATAAGGCCATAAACCCAATGTGCCTTCGGCTTTATGTGTTCTAGCATTCATGCTTCACTTGCGCATGGCAGTGGGCTAGCATGATAAAACACTCATAGGATTTGATTGAAAATGTATAATGCACAAACACCTCATGTTGACTTCCTGAAAACACTCATATGATTTGATTGAAAATGTTTGCTGGCCATTTCTGCCATCTTATAAGGAAAGTATATCGTCATAACGTAACCCATTTCAGAAAATTCTCAAGACCTAAAACTCAACCAATCTAATTCCCTTGAGATATTTTATAACATCAGATTGTTCTCCCCTAATTGTGTAATGGTAAAATGGAGTACACATACAGTGTTTACCATGTAGAGCTATGTAAACTCTTTGTCAGTAGTATCATAACTAACTACCTAAGTATACTGGACGGTGAGGAAAACCTTCCCCAGACTTCACCCAGCGTGTAACAAGCTCCATCAAGACTTCCCCTAACAAGGCAATGCATGTCAGCTCTCATCTTGTGGATAAACAGCACATGGACCGGGTTAAACGATGCCCAGGGCTCTTAATTACACCTTAAACCTCCACTGATGGCAACATTAAGGAGCAACAACAGGTAGGATCTATAATGACCGTGTGGGCTGAAGGAACAGATTGACGGAAACACAGTCTTGTGTGTTCTGATGTACAGCAGACGCTCTCTGCTAATAGTTGACAACTGTTTATGTATTAAAAATGTTAACATCATGGGTTTTATGGGCAAAAAACTGCCCAAAACAGGCTCTGTTTCCACAAGTCTTGCAGAAATCACATTATCTCGAAAGATAGCTTGAGGGAAACAGGCTCTAATCACAACCACCTGGCACATCAATGGATGTAAGGTGTCAGGAAAACAGTGTCTGCCAACCTTACAGCATGTACCGAGTAATGAGATGTATGACAAAAATATAAGAATTCAATTAAGGGAGACAACTGTGCAACAAGAGCTCTGACAAAAAGTTACATTGCTAAATGCCTATGATATATTCAGTGTCTTGTAGACCACATTTCATGTGTTCTTATACCATAGATAAAAAAGTGATGTCTGTTGATTGATCTACACAACCACACAAACAGATCTGCCAGCTACAAAGGACAACAGACGACCTGTCAACAAGATGTTTCATGATGTCTTTCAGTGGCATTTAGAAGTTGTACATTGATGTCCAAGATATTTTTATGGATGAAACTTCTTTATAATTTCCCTCATGCGTTTGAGACCATTCCAGTTCACCTGATGAAGGACCTGGAATGGTCTCAGCGATGAAATTATAAAGAAGTTTCATCCATAAAAATATCTTGGACAAGATGTTTCATATCCAACAGACAATGCATGAAAGATTTTAATCCTTGGTAAAACACCTGTAGATTTTGTGTCATACTTTGTACATTGCTGGATCTTACAATCACTTAGCAGTTTATATTTGTTTTTATATCCTTGAAAATGGACGTCCCGTATGTATACATACAAACTTCCTGGATACAAATGAGCCATCTTTATGTACGTGCACTATACAATTAAACCTGCTGTGATGCCACAATAGTTGTTGAGGTATGTTTTCCTATTGCACCACCCTAAAACTACAGCCACATCTTCACAAAGGATTGTAAACAGGTGCCACTGAGATAAAATAGTGAAGACAGAAACACAACAGCTTTAAGAACAAGTCTATATTGAGATTTCCCTTGATGAACTAATCACATTTACTGGGTACATGACATCAACCTGGGCATGGAGACAGGACAATTCAGTAATGATATGGTATTGTCATGCATGTTACACGGATAATGTGCAGGAGAGTCCACATTAAACAGGGCACATGGTCATACAAGTGCAGTCATGGGGCCATGTATGGGTGGAACTACATGTGCAGGAGAGTCCACATTAAACAGGGCACATGGTCATACAAGTGCAGTCATGGGGCCATGTATGGGTTGGACTACATGTGCAGGAGAGTCCACATTAAACAGGGCACATGGTCATACAAGTGCAGTCATGGGGCCATGTATGGGTTGGACTACATGTGCAGGAGAGTCCACATTTAACAGGGCACATGGTCATACAAGTGCAGTCATGGGGCCATGTATGGGTGGAACTACATGTGCAGGAGAGTCCACATTAAACAGGGCACATGGTCATACAAGTGCAGTCATGGGGCCATGTATGGGTTGGACTACATGTGCAGGAGAGTCCACATTAAACAGGGCACATGGTCATACAAGTACAGTCATGGGGCCATGTATGGGTGGAAGTACATGTGCAAGAGAGTCCACTATAACCAGGGCACATAGTCATACAAGTACAGTCCTGGGGCCATGTATGGGTTGAAGTACATGTGCTGGAGAGTCCACACTAAACCAGGGCACATGGTCATACAAGTACAGTCCTGGGGCCATGTATGGGTGGAAGTACATGTGCAAGAGAGTCCACTATAACCAGTTCACGTGGTCATCCAAGTGCAGTCATGGGGCCATGTATGGGTTGGACTACATGTGCAAGAGAGTCCACATTAAACAGGGCACATGGTCATACAAGTGCAGTCATGGGGCCATGTATGGGTGGAAGTACATGTGCAAGAGAGTCCACTATAACCAGGGCACATGGTCATACAAGTACAGTCATGGGGCCATGTATGGGTTGGACTACATGTGCAAGAGAGTCCACATTAAACAGGGCACATGGTCATACAAGTACAGTCATGGGGCCATGTATGGGTGGAACTACATGTGCAAGAGAGTCCACTATAACCAAGTCATGTGGTCATTCAATTGCAGTCATGGGGCCATGTATGGGTGGAACTACATGTGCAGGAGAGTCCACTATAACCAGGTCATGTGGTCATCCAAGTGCAGTCATGGGGCCATGTATGGGTTGGACTACATGTGCAAGAGAGTCCACATTAAACAGGGCACATGGTCATACAAGTACAGTCATGGGGCCATGTATGGGTGGAAGTACATGTGCAAGAGAGTCCACTATAACCAGGTCATGTGGTCATCCAAGTGCAGTCATGGGGCCATGTATGGGTGGAACTACATGTGCAAGAGAGTCCACTATAACCAGGTCATGTGGTCATCCAAGTGCAGTCATGGGGCCATGTATGGGTGGAACTACATGTGCAAGAGAGTCCACTATAACCAGGTCACGTGGTCATCCAAGTGCAGTCATGGGGCCATGTATGGGCCATGTATGAGTGGACTGCATGTGCAGGAGAGTCCACTATAACCAGAGCATGTGGTCATCCAAGTGTACTCTTAGGGCCATGTATGGGTGGAACTACATGTGCAGGAGAGTCCACTATAACCAGGGCACATGGTCATCCAAGTTTAGCCATGGGGCCATGTATTTTTTAAATTTTTTTCATTGAATTTTTATCAATAAAAATGAATATATTTTCAGGGCAAGAAAGTAAACATAAGTAAATGTAATGTTTCATTACTTAAGTTGTACAAAATATTATGTATTTGATTAGTCCAGTAAAATACATGTGTACCATCTTAAGTTATACCTAGTCGAGTTCGACCTTCAGAACATGACTTCAACAAAAGCAGAATTCATCAGACAGTAACTGATCTTCCTGACAATGAACTCCTTTACCTGCTAGCCTTATATCAGCCAACAGCTGCTCACATTATTTTCCTACCGACAGACACGAGTCAGCCCTGTGCCCGCAGTGGCTACAGCACATTTAACCTATTATTGCTGACTCAATCATATTGCCGAGATCCATGACTCGACATCTGCTGGGATTCAAACCTGGCCTGTTGGTGGCAGGCCAAGCAAAACACCTCCTCCTGTCTGAAAGCAATTACTTTGCCCCGAAACTGATCTCCACCACCCACATCCACCACCACAACAACACTGTACAGTGTCAGGGACAACAGTAGCCAGGCTACAGGGGCCAGCTGGGCTGTTACCTGTCTGTAATTAATGTGCCCAGCCCAGGTACAACACCACCATGTGATTACTTTAAATATACAGATGGTGGCCATCTTGTTTTCTATTGAAACCAATAACACATTGATTTTTACCTCTGCCATGATATTCCTTAGTCAGAATGTAAAACAAGTAAGGAATGGCTATCTGCATTCAAAGGTACTTTCAGTATTCTGTACCTCAAGTTAAAATCTGTTTGATTTACCTATGCGATAAACTTTCATTTGAGGTGAAGATATATTGAAACACCATCCCCCTCTTTTCAGCTGTTCTTGTTTCTCAAGTATCATTTACTATCAGTGAATTAACATTGAAACATCAGCTTCATTACTTCAGCTGGCCTCTTGTATGGACTCAATGAATGTGTTTAGTTTTATGCCGCACTCAGAAATATTCCAGTTATATGGCGTCGGTCTGTAAATAATCGAGCCTGGACCAGACAATCCAGTGATCAACAACATGAGCATCGATCTGTGCAATTGGGAACCGATGACTTGTGTCAACCAAGTCAGTGAGCCTGATCACCCGATCCCGTTGGCCACCTCTTACGACAAGCATAGATTGCTGAATATCAATATTCTAACCCGGACCTACACGGTTACTGAATGAGTGAGTGCTTCATCAGCTCCATCAGTTATGGTAGCTTGTCACATGGAATCAGTGAGAGCTGAAGTATAAGCTTCTTCGACAAGTACCACTTTCCCAATGAAGCTGATATCTCACTGGACCATTTCCAGAGTTTGACATTGGGCTCAGTGGTCATTGCCAGGCATGAGTGAGTGAGTGAGTAAGTTTGGTTTTACTCGGCTTTAAGCAAAATGCTAGCAATATCACGGCGGGGAACACCAGAAATGGCCTTCAAAATGCTAGCAATATCACGGCGGGGAACACCAGAAATGGCCTTCAAACATTGTACCCATGTGGGGAATCGAACCGGGGAGGACGAGTGGACGCTTTCACCATTAGGCTACCCCACTGCCCCAGAAAGCATGAAATTTACACAAATATGGAATACAGTTCAATCATCATGAGACTTCAGCACCAAGTGAGCTCTATCTCACATTTTACACTTAAATTCAGACCTGTAGGTTTCTCTACACCATCAGTGTCAACACTACCACCACCTCTATCCCACTACCACTCACCGACTTATCGCAGATCACAACAACATCCCCGCCACATGTGCACAAGCTGGTATCTAACAGTAAACACAACCTTTCACAAAATGTCACACCTACTGTTATGTGAATATCACAAGGTAAATAAAGCCTGAAATAATGCTTTCCTAATCACTATTGATTACACTTCCCTCTTGCGACTGCTACAGCAATAAAATGTACATCTTTATCACCTGACTCTCCATTGATCACTGTCTGAACAATAACAAACACAGCATGAACCAAGTCCTGCAAACACTATTACATCAAGAAACTAACACCTCTTTCACCGACTTCTCTGGTGTCTCTCTATTTATCAGACATATTGTTCCTCAGCCTAATATTTACCTGGGTCTATCTGACTGTCAATCCTGGGTATTGTCTGCGACTATTATATTTGGCTATACCACACCTGAAAATTTGCGTCTGGAGTTGATCACGACACACACATCTACAGCCAAAATGTGGCATTCATAATAAGTGTCCTAAACCTCCACATGTGTGCAGCACTGTACAATCCATGAGAGATGATTTCCAAAAAAGAAACCAAACAAGAGAAGAAAACAGTAAAATGGAAAGTCTGACCGCTGATTGTATTTCTTACTGGGATATTAGGGACCATTCATAATTTATGGCTAGAGGGGGTGATGATGATTTTTATGGAGAAGCATGTACAATGTGAATGACCCCCCTCCCCTTAAATTTATGTACAAAATAAGAGACCCCCCTGCATGTCATGTACAAAAACAATGATCCCCCTCCACTTTCCATAATTTCTAAGCAGAATTTTTAAGATATTTTTATGTACAAAATTGCTGACCCCCTAGCTCCCCAGAACAAAATGGATGACCTCCCCAGAACAAAATTATCACACACACACACACACCCCCTAGCCATTAATTATGAACGGTCCCTTAGAACAGCATCAGTTACCTGATATGTTCTCTATAATAATTAATCTAAATTAGGTAAATGATTCCAATAATCATTTATTATTACATCAAAGTGGACTCACAAAGCATAATATTTTGGATGTCATCTGCACATAAAGCAAGTTTACAAAATGTCTGGTCAAGACAGCAGCAGAAGACGGACAAGGACAGCACCAATGATGCTAACATTTGTTTCACAAAGTCAATCAACACCCATCTCAAATACCTTATTGACATCAGTCAATTCAACTTAGCTCACGACAATGGATATCATTAAGATGTATTTACAAAGAACACAATATTCTCGTACCTTGTTTCCACTGACACCCTTGTATGCCTTGTAGATGTTGAGCAATGTGATGCTGTCTCCCTCACTTGAGATAAACTTCCTCCTCGCTGCAAGAGCCTCTTCTCTCTGTCAGGGATACACAACAGGGATTTACAATAACATCACAAATTAAAATCCATTTCTCCATTCTATTTTTAAAGAAAAACTAGATCATTAGTAGAATAGTTTTTAAGTAAAATTGCAAATCAATCACTGTGTTAAAGTGAGTGAGTGAGTGAGTATGGTTTTACGCCACTCTTAGCAATATTCCAGCAATATCTACATTTAACTATAGTGACATGGAAGAATCTGGAACATCCAGCTAAAACACTCTCTGTTAAGTATAAATTTGAAGAAAAAAATTGTGGGTTCAGTCATATCTGAGAAAATGGGGACTTGAGATTACACTTTCTCCGTCCAGTATAGATGACTTTACTGACTGGCAATTACCAGTAGGTGTTTCAATCTAAGAGTATGGGTTCAAATCCCCAAGAGACTCACCTCCCACAATGTATTAGTACCTGTACTTTCCTGAGAAAGACTAATCCCAAACATTACATATGTCACATCTGACCACTTTCTTAATGGCAGTATGGATTCCGTTTGCAGTATATTGTCAACATACAAGAGTTAAATGTACTTTAAACAAAACATTTAAAAAGCACATTTTCATATGCTATATAGTTCTTCCTAGTGAGCCAAAAAAATAATAAAACTGTAAAACTAAAAATGTTTGTGAGATATGGGGGTTTTTCCAAGAAGTCTGAATTCATATTTTGTCTTCAAGTTGGAACATCAGTTTCTCAACAGAGGAGGCACTGTTTGGGAGCAGAGATATTTATTCCGTTAATATTAGCATTATCTATACGTATATTTTAAGCATTAAACACAACAATTCTCTAGCTATCGCATTACAGAGTGCAACAATTGTATAATTCAAGAGTGGGTGTGTATCTCAACAAAAACAAAATGTCTCTGCTTGAAGATTAAACTCCATTATAGTCTGAGAATGTGTTTTGAATCAGCATCTTAACTGTGGTGAGCGTAAATGTAACACGAGTCATCTTCACAGAAAACATGCTTAAACTTTACAGTTGATGTCCATTAGCCGACATTCATCTTAGCACTTTATTTCATTACCAGTTGGTTATATAATGCCACTTCATGAGGCATGCAGACATGGCAGCAGTCAACTCACTGACAGATATGCATGGCACCAAACACTGAAGCTAGCATCATCTGTAGCTTGAACAACCAAACTGGTTTGACACGAAGGCCAAAAAACTTTCCACCTTAAGCAATGGCCAGAAATGCATGAGGTTGAGAGATTCGTGAGTTTGAGAGGATGTATTACACAGAAGCCTCCACCATACCTGCCCCCATATGGTAATTAATGTGTCCTGAAGGTAGCAGAGTCTGGGCAAACCAAACCAGAGACCATATATATTGGTATATGGTCTCTGACCAAACCAATGTGACATGAAAACGTTCCATCGTGTCACACCATCAGATTACCATGGTACCCACTGTGTATGTGGTGTATTCACGATCACCAGAATCTAATATTCCTGAATTTTGGAAAACTTTGTTATTCTCTTGAGTTTGGATCTTAATTATCAAAGTGAAAATGCAAAATGGATGAATCCAGGCAGGATAATAGTTAACAGTCTTATATATATATAATATGAGTGAGTGAGTGAGTGAGTGAGTGAGTGAGTGAGTGAGTGAGAGGTGAGTGAGTGAGTGAGTGAGTGAGTGAGTGAGTGAGTGAGTGAGTGAGTGAGGTTTCATGCCGTTTTCAGCAATATCCCAGCGGGGGACACCAGAAATGGGCTTCACACATTGTACCCATGTATACATAATATGATATCTATGTGGTCACTGGTCATTGTAAGCGAGTGAGTTTAGGTTTACGTCACACTCAGCAATATTCCAGCTATATGGCGACGGTCTGTAAATAATCGAATCTGGACCAGACAATCCAGTGATCAACAACATGAGCATCAATCATAGGGAACCAATGACATGTCAACCAAGTCTCAAGCCTGACCACCCGATCCCGTTAGTCACCTCCTGGACCTTCATGGTTCCACTGGTCATTGTGATAAAGCAACACCGTCAACATGGTCAAAACAAAGAATATTGTTCATTATAATTGATTGAATATAATGAATGATACATTAACTAATGATTTGCTATTGAATTTGTTACCCAGTATTTATATTCAATACCCAATAATTATAGTATGCATCATATTCGCCTAAGACTGGATTCATTGCAGTAAGTAACTACCCAATCCTCATTGGTTATCTCTCAACATTCATGAGGCACAAGGAGACCTTTTCTACCCTGGCCAATGAACCTGGGATGTGAGACGGAGGCTGGAGATGTGAATCCTGACACTACAACAGGAGATAAAAAGCGACCCAGGCTGAGATGCTGTCCCAGGCTGAGATGCTGTCCCAGTCTGCAAGCGGCAGCATTACGACACATCAGAACATTCACAGCACAACTCATCCTGGCAGCTCGGAAACGGATCTCTTTTCAAATAATGGAGTGGAACATTTATTACATAGCTGCTGCACCTGCTACAGAGCAACATTTTGGATTCTTAAGGCCTTACTTGGTTCTTGACAAGAACATGGCCCCCTGGTAAACTAAGATGGTAAACCTAACCTTCCAGGTTTGTAACAATACATTCAGGAAATACTGCACAGCTTCAGCAAGTATGGTGTTCATGAGTGAATGTTGTTTTACCTCAAAGCCATTAATGTGGTCTCAAGCTACTAAACACACAATGCCAGAAAAGTAATAGAATCTGTGCTTTACAGAAAAAGTGTAATCACCAATTTTATAACAAACATATCAAGCTACTTCTGTTGCAGTTGAATTCCATGGCTATTCTGTATGTCCATTTTGCGTAAGTAAAGCTGACGTAACTATGAGTGAGTGAGTGAGTTTAGTTTTACGCCACACTCAGCAATATTCCAGCTATATGGCGGCGGTCTGCAAATAATCGAGTCTGGACCAGACAATCCAGTGATCAACAGCATGAGCATCAATCTGCACAATTGGGAACCGATGACATCTTTCAACCAAGTCAGCGAGCCTGACCACCCGATCCGGTTAGTGACTCAATGGGGAAAATGAGGACTTAACACGATCTCAAACAAATCCAACATAACCAGACCATACTCCTGCTCCCTCCACCATTAATGGCAAATTTCAAAATTCATACAGAAATTAAATATGCTACCCTGATGCCACTTTCAGGCCCTATCTTCCAGTCATAATCACCCCCCTTTCAATCACACATGGCTTTGCAGTCCCATGTGTGAAACTCGCATCATGTCTGAAAGCACACATAATATCACCAAATCATCATCATATTTGAACTAGGTCAAGGCAGTCTAGTGACTGAATGCATGAGCACAGATCCACACCATAGCACATGAGGACAAGTAATCTGTAGGGTCACAAAGCCTCGACCTCCAGCCCCCTTTGTCCAGCGTTGAGGTAATGATCCAGAATCTCCATGAGGGCGGTAGGTAGTTTCTCAATAGTGTTTGTGACTTTGCAATACCAAGGGGTACCCAGAACAGGCCCCATGGGGATAATGAGGACCTAGCAAGATCTCTGTCTAACCACAGTGCAAACTGATCCTAGATGGAAGTGCAACACACATTTCAGTTGGCTACAACTGCTCACATACAAAGACTGACATTTGTGTTATTTTCACATAAAAGTGGAGGCACCATTGAATATTCAATGTAGGTATTTTGTTGTTGGAATGCTATTCACCACTATCGCCCACCCCGATTCATCAGCATCTGTTGATCTAATAACAACAAGAAGTCTCAGTCCAATGTTTGTCTGCCAGTATTTTGCAAAAAAGTCAAATCACCTTGATGAATGTCCTTGACCTTTATTCTGCACCAGTTAACAAGGACTGGAAATATTCACAAGTGGTCTGTTTTATCTTGGCACATTCGTGGTTGTTCTGGAGCTGTCTGTATTGGCGATAATACAAGATGCATGTCTGCCAGAATTCCTTGCAGTGCAGCATTGTGTTGATGTTAAACGCAGCACACTGTTGCCTACTGCTTATCTCTGGAGCACCATCAGTTTGTTGTTTAGCTGTCTACGCCCACACTTTCACTCCTTCAAGAATACCTTTTGTTTTTCAGTTTACAGTCAACAAAGTTACAGACACATTACTACTGTGTACCGTTGTTTAAGTTAAACCGGCTTACCATTTGTTAACAGGATGAGCTAAGATCTATGCTATCAAGACATGCATTTGAGAAAAATCTTAGTGAACATCTTTGATGCAAGAAGGACCATGGTTCTATTGAAGATCAACAATTATTTAAGAGATCCGGTTGTGAGATGACATAAAATAGCCCAGATTGCTTGAGTAAAGCAGCATTTCATGGTCACCTAATTGGCTGCCCCTAGCACTTTTAATGATAATTAAATGCTTAAAGACAAACACATTATGATAACCTGCTTAGAAGATAAACTGCACTTTGTGACATGTGTTTGGACATAAGCAACACTTTGTGATATCTGCTTGGACATAACTAACACTTATAGTTTGGCATGAAATGCATGTGGACCCGTTTTTTTGTAAATATCGCTTCATCCAATGACCCAATCAATCTCAAACTGTGCAAGTGGATGTTTTGTCAGACAACCTAATCACATTGTAAATCACTGATTTTATGCATTTGTATTAAAGAATCTGTCTATGTAACTGTCAACAAAATAAACAGCAGAACACAAACTGCTTGCAGAGGGAGGGAGCCAATGACCTGTAACAGCGGCAGTGGTGGGTCATAAAGGTCAACGCTCGTCAATGTAGGTCAGCTATGCATGTGACAGGTATGAAGAGGTGTTCATTTCTAGCAAATAGCCGGCGAATGACATCTCTGATGACCCTGATGTCAAAAGAATCTAACTTTGGATGCCTACCTTTTTGTACAAGGCTTTGTTTATTGGTTGTTGGTTTATTTTTCACAATTTTTAGCACGATGTTCTGTTTCATGCCAAGAGCAAAAGTTGTACGTGTCATGTAATCCGACACCTTAAAAATCGGTTTGCTACGTTTGCTCTCTTTTTAAAAATATTCAACACATTTCTACTTAAACGTTTAGCATCATCTGAATAAGCCTTCATGATGACAGCTGGTGCACAGGTAACTATCATGAACTGCACGTGCATTTACCTTTATGACCCAACACTGCAGCTGTTACAGGTCATTGGCTCCCTCCCTCTGCAAGCAGTTTGTGTTCTGCTGTTTATTTTGTTGACAGTTACATAGACAGATTCTTTAATACAAATGCATAAAATCGGTGATTTACAATGTGATTAGGTTGTCTGACAAAACATCCACTTGCACAAACTATACAGTTTGAGATTGATTGGGTCATTGGATGGAGAGATATTTACAAAAAACCGGGTCCACATGCATTTCATGCCAAACTATAGTGACAACTGATTGGACATTAGCAACACTTAGTGATTCCTGCTTGGACACAACCAACACTTAGTGATTCCTGCTTGGACACAACCAACACTTAGTGATTCCTGCTTGGACACAACCAACACTTAGTGATTCCTGCTTGACATAAGCAACACTTAGTGATTCCTGCTTGGACACAACCAACACTTAGTGATTCCTGCTTGGACACAACCAACACTTAGTGATTCCTGCTTGGATTCCTGCTTGACATAAGCAACACTTAGTGATTCTGCTTGGACACAACCAACACTTAGTGATTCCTGCTTGACATAAGCAACACTTAGTGATTCCTGCTTGGACACAACCAACACTTAGTGATTCCTGCTTGGACACAACCAACACTTAGTGATTCCTGCTTGGACACAACCAACACTTAGTGATTCCTGCTTGACATAAGCAACACTTAGTGATTCCTGCTTGACATAAGCAACACTTAGTGAATCCTGCACAAATTTTTAATTATATGAGTTGTAGATGTTTGCCAGTATCAGCCATTACTGTACATCCAGTCAATTGAACCAACAACAACATGTCACATGGTCAACCATGTAAAGCCAGAATGTCTCTCAGATAAGTGAGTGTCGGTCAGTGTCAGTTCAACCATGTTCAAGTGCATGAAGTAACTAATAATAAACATGTAAGCTGCAATAGCATGCGAGTGTTTTCAGGTGTTCTGTATTAAACCAGTGAGTACTGATACTAAGTGAGTAAATGAGTGAGAGTGGGTGGAGGGATGCTGGGGTTTAGCCGAGATTTGGGTGAGATTTGGGTGAGATTTGGGTGAGATTTGGGTGAGATTTGGGTGAACGGGCAAGTGGGTGAATGGGTGAGT